CGTTTTTTTCATATCAAGCTGATTCTCACCTCAAAATTAATGAACTTTTCATTTTTTATTTTAGTTATCTAGAAAAAACCTCTTTCAACAAAATATCTTCATAATGAACTCATTCATCATGCATCTCAATGTCTTCCTCATCTCATCCATTGACAATCATCAATATGTTAATAAAAAAATTATCTACAAAGACTTCTGATACTCTATCAGAACTATTGACATATTCTTTCAACAAATACATCAAAAGATCTTGTCGTAATTCCAGATTTGGTCTTATTCTTCTTGCCAAATGTTACAAATTATTGTGTCTTCACCAATGCAACGATTCTTCGCTGTTTCACTTCAATTAGATAAAGCAAAATTCGACTTAAACTTCATAACTAAAATCATCTTTGATCCGAACGAAGCTTTATTTCTATCTATTAATACTTTCATTAAGTTGAATTCGATCAAGAAAAAAAAAAGGATTGCTCAGTAATCGTGTCCTCTAATCAATTTCAAATGTGTTCACCATTCTCATTTGAATAAATATATCTCACATGTTTTTTTTTAATCAATAAAAATCATTCAATTATTAAAGAATTCATTGATATCTTTGATAGATTTTCTACAATTGATCAGAACGATTCTTTATTAAGTTAAAGAGATTTTCTCATATTAATTTTCATCAATCTAATAAAAAATTAATTCAGAATTAATAAACTCGATCAAAATTCTTTTCAAGTAAACAATGAAAGATATCTCATGCTAATACAGGAATTTTTCATCCATTCGAGTGAAATTTCTAGAATTGTTGGCAAATAATCGATAAAATTTATTCAAGTTTATCTAAACCATTGATAATTAACATTGATTCTGTCACTTTTATCTAATAAAAGATTTTGATTTCGTGAAAAAATTAATCCAATTTATTCAATCTCGATAATTGAAACACAGAAAAAAGTTCCAGACAAACATTGATAATAATGTGAATAGAATATAATTCAACTGATTGAAAATCTGGAAAATTATCCATTTAATGGTAATCCATTGATTTCAATAACAAAAATAATAATGAAGAAAGATAAATGGTCATATAACATTGATTATTGAATAAGCATTTTCATTTAAAGAAGTTCGAGTAAATCATAATATAATTAATTTGTTGAGAAATACATTTATCTCTCATTTGAGTTCAATTGATATTGAATAGAATTCAATTCATTAAAGAAATCTTCGTTTTCATCTTAGCTTCTCTCTGTGCAATAAAAAAAAAAGAGGAAACCTAATTTGTTTATAGTTTCAATGTTAAATTCTGTATTTGATAGAGAAGAAAACTCTATTTAATTGAATTATTAAGATTTTTCTCTTAATAGAGATTAAAGAGGAAAATAATATTGGATTTTTATCAATTCTTCTATTTGAATCGAATCGCAAGAGCAAATCATCTTCAATAGAAACTTTTTATTATCATAGGAACATTTTCTTGTTTCTTTTTTTCCCATATTTTCTCACTGTTATTTAATAGTAAAAGATTAAAAGATTCATCATTAATCAGAAATGAATTATTTTCATTCAAAAAGATCAACTTTCCTATTCAAACAAAAGACAAAAAGCTCAATGCAAAAACTTTTTCTGACAATGCCAATATGAACAACAACCGAAATTGAACAGAAATTTATTTTTGATTGATAAATCTGACCAAATATCTTAGACGAACATTTTTATTTATTTTTCATCAATAGACTTTCACTTATGTGTTTTTATTCAACGTTTTAGTCTATATAAAATTTCTTTTTTTTTTTTTCTCTTTAGTTTGTTTACAGAAACAATAAGGTGGAATAAACAAAAATGTTCATAGATATAATACTTCAAATATCTCTATCGTGTCTCATTAACGCATAGAGTTCGGTGACGAGTTCAGCTTTTAGTTGGCTCATATTCGTATATGTATTCAATTGTGCAGGAGGTAGACTATAAAGCATGCCATCTGGTGCCTGTGCAACCAATAATTCCATTTGAAAAGTTAACCGCATGATTTCCAAAGCCAAACGATTTTTCTACAAGACAAAAACAAGATAAGATAATGTGTCAAACATTAAAATGGCAAGAACTCAAGGAAAAATGCCAAACAATCAGTATTAAATTTTTTTTTTCATTAGATATGATTTAAAAGTATCACCCTCTTAACAATGAAATTATGATCGAACAAGAAATGCACTTTTTTTTCATGAATTCTCTTTTCACGGAATCAACATTATTTTAAAGATTTGGCATATTTATCACCTGCGTGATCAACACAAATCAGAGAAGATAGCTGTTTGAACTGAAAGCTTAATCTCCAGAGATTTCAAATAAGGACAAGAAGAAATTCGATAACATAGGCAACATACTTCGTTGGTAGAAATGGCCATAAATGATATTGAAAGCGAAGTGATCCGAAATTGCAGAATGAGGAGAATGAATGGACATGTAATAACGTTCAGCGTGCTCGAATTTATATTCGTGTTCGTTTGTTCATGAATGACTAGGCCATTTTCTTCAGAAGAAAATAGCTGAAGTTTGATTGGAGAAAATCAAACAAAGAGAGAAAGCGACGGCATCGATTGTCTATGCAGTCCAATGACATTCATCATTTTCCGACAATGAGATAGACTAGATAATAAATACTATGCATTGTTATTCTGTCTCAGTTAGATAAATTTAAGTGCTTTTTCAATAATAAGATATTTTATTCCAAGAGTATGAAAATTCTATTTTTCAAAAGTATTTCTCAAAAACTGAATAAGACAAAGGTCTATAGCTTTTTATCTGTATTTACTGTAGTACCATCGGTCTACTTATATTCACACATATATATTGGTCAAAAAGTAATTGACCACTTGAGGTGATTTTTGAAACGATTTGATAATCACTTCTCTCTAAAATGTCTTATCACAGAAATTGACAAATGAGCTAATTATTACTTCATGAACTCACATGGCACACTAACTGATATCCACAAGGAGAATATAGTTGTCATCCATGAACAGTTCTGGACGTATAGAATATCCTCAAGTAACTCATCAATAGACTACATTTTTAACAAATTCACATGATTTCAGATAGTGATCTCGAGTTTCGGCTACTCCTATCTTGCGTTCTCCTACGCCGTCCGGTTTTTTTTCCTTTTTCCTTTTTTTATTCTTTCGACTTGTGTTCGTCTTTATTCTTTTTCTGTCTCTGTTGGCATGTGTGTGCTAACAGTGATTCTGAGTAAAATGACGACGGATAACTAAATAATGGTGCTGAATCGAATGAAAAGAAGATAGATCAGGGCTTTTCTATCAATGCTTTTATTGTCAAACAACAGATTTCCTTGCATCTATCTTCTCAGTATCTAAAAATGCGGCAACCATACGATGCCTGTGCATCCAAATGATAGAAAGCAATAGAAAGATTAACTACGTAACATGTATATTTTGAATACATATATCTTGATCATCTGACTAGTGGTTAGAAAGGTAGAAAAATGAAATAAGATAAATAATTTTGACAATCTTCGTTCTTGATCAAACAATACTGCGGTCATATTTCCTTTTACTTCATGCTTTCATGATAATCGTATGTGACAAATCTATACTCTAACTTTGTCTTGTTTCCTTTATCACAAACTTTTACCAAAAAGTATCCTGATTCACTTACGATAGCTAATTTCTGTGTTACATGAAGACCATTGTATTGATTCATATATTGATATGCATTAAAATGAATCACGTGATGTAATGCGGTCATATCGATCTTGCAGAAAACAGCAATAGAAATAATCTAAAAAGATGGTCATCATGAAAAGGTAGAGAAAAAAGACGACAGATCACTAACGACTATCTAATTGTTATAGTCGAGAATGAAATGAACACAAACATGTTGTCCTTGTTTTCTATCTCTTTTTCTTTTTCATGGAATATGCACAACACGTGTATGCCGTCGAATTTAAAAGAGAAACGAAAAAATAACATGATACCACAAGCGAATAAGTCATAAGTGTGTTACTTCTCTCTATATACTATAATCTCTATTCTTGCAGAACAGATGACAATTGAATAGTAACGTAAGAACGAGTGAATCATGCTATTCTCATCATTCTAAAACAACACTCTCTCAATTCGTTTTAGTTTGACAAGATCGATACATTTAGATGTTGCAAAGATATTCTTGAGTGAATACTGTTAAGGATCAACTGATCGAATGAATTGGGTTAAATTAAAGAAGAAATTGATTAATACTTTTGTGTGATATGAGCTAACTTCAATGAACTGTAATAGATACTAAAGAGTTGTATTGGGTCGATTTTTAGTTTGTTTTTTAATCATCTAGCGAAAATTCATCGATAATAAATTATTCTAACGATCTCTAATCAATATTCATCAATTCTGTCAATAGAAAATAAGCAAATCTATTCTTGTTCAACATTTAACGTCAAATTCGAAACCAGTTGATTATCGAAAGAAATTCAATCGATCATTTCAATCATTTATAAAATTCTTTGAAGATATATTTTTAATTGACACTCTATCAGTCGAATGAGTTCATTCGAATTATCATGGAATTGATCAGTTGAAATCCATTTTCATTTTGACTAGAACATTTTTGACTTGATGTTGATCAAAAGGTAGATGAGTTCTTTAATCAAAGTCTTCTTTGCAACACACTTGACAAACCTTCTTTTCATCAGTTATTCTCAAGAACAATTTCATCATTCAATCTTCTTTCTTAATACGTAGGATGAACAAAGTATGAAAAACTTTTTATTCCGAAAAAAAGAAAAGTTTCAGCTATCATGTACTATACATACATGTACGTTGCTCCATCTTTCGTTTTTTCCATCCTGTTAATCGCAAGAAAGAAACCAATGAAATGTTTTTGCTTTCCTGTCGATAAATTGTGACATCTTTGAAAATCAAATCTTTTTATTCGTTCAATAAAATAGTTCAAGGAAAAAGTAAATGTTTATATTTAAGATAAAATTGTAAATATTAATAATGGTATTCGAACATTTGATGGCATTTTTTATCGATAAATTTTTGGGAAATTATATCGAAGATTTCGATTGTCATCAATTAAAAATGCATTTATGAGCTGTTATGAAATTTATTTAAATAAATATGATNTATTTTCATTTAAGGTGATATTATTCTTGAAAATGTTCATTTAAAAACCAATGCACTCGTAAATTGAAATTTTATATTTCGAAATAAAATAAATAAATTTGTTTTAGAATGATTTTAATGTTCCACTTGAAATAATAACTGGCTATCTTGGTGTGTTATATATATATGAAATTATTAAAATAAATCTTTACTTTAATTATATAGAAAAACTTCGAATTCATATTCCATGGAAACATTTATATACACATCCAATGAAAATTGATTTTGATGGCTTTTATTTACTTGTTGCACCAAAAACTAGTTTGTTTAAGAAAATAAAAATTCTTCATTTTTATTTTTTGTTTGTAAAAGATGTCAATTATGATGTTGAACGAAAGGAAAAAGAAGAATATGAATCAAAAATGAAACAAGTTAAGAAAGTGGAAGAATTTCGTCGTGAACGAGAATTATTTGGTTCGATTATCGAGTTTTATTATTTATTTTTATTTTATGTATTTTATTTTAGAAAAAGATAAACAAAGTCTTCATCATAAAGACACATTTTTCGAACATTTGCAATTTCATATTCTGAGAAATCTTGAAATTGAAATTAATAATATTCATATTGCTTATGATGATAAAACAACAAAATCTTATCCATTTCAATGTGGAATTACACTTAATTATATTAGACTTCATGTATTTTCACATTTCAGAAATAACAAAAAAATCTTTTTTTTTTTTGCTTAGACAACAAATGATCAATGGGAAGATTTTGAATCAAAAGATGATTCGAAAATAATTTACAAAGTTTGATTCTTTTCTTTTATTTGTAAAGATTATTTATTTTTGTAATTTAGTTGGCACAAATAAATAATTTATCAATTTATTGGAATTCAAATATTAAATCAAGATTAGATTTATCTAAACAAGATATTATTGTATGTTTTAATTAATCACTTTTTAAAGTTTTTTTCTCAATATTTATTCATTCAGGAAGATTTAAAATCAATTAAGCAACTTAAATATCCAAAAATGAATTTCAGTGAGAATTTCTTTTTTTTTCTCGATTGAATAGTTTATAAAATAAATGTTTTAGTTATTCAACCATTAAATTGTCAAGCTAAATTAAAAATTGCTAAAACAGCTCAAGAACAAGATTTTGAAGAAACTGTTCTTGCTACTGATATTGATTTTGAAGATATATATTTGAATATT